GACGAAAAAATAATATCTCCATGTTCATCCCGGAGGACCATGCCAGCTCCTGCAGTTCCGTCCTTGGCAGAAAAGGACCCGTCGATATTGAGCGCAGCCCAGCCGGCTGGCGGTGCCTCCCATCCAAGTGCTGATGGCTTCTCACGCTCTACATGTGATAACAATTTCCTGCTATACAAAGGTGCAGCCACCATTTTTCCTTTGATGTGATCTCCATGAGGGTATGCCTGGATGGCTAGCAATGAGTTGACATAGCTGGATAGGAATCTGGTCGAGGCTTCGACCGGCGGTGGTCGTTTGTCGTGGACGAACTCATTCCTCACATGCCAGCAACGCCAAATCGTCATGAGCGTATACATCCGCTCCTCTGGTGACAAGTCCGCGAGCACATGAAAAAGCCACTCTGGCCCAGTGTGCATGACTTGACGGATGTCCGGAATATTCCATTGCCGCGCCATAGCTTGCCACAAGGCGATCGCATGAAGACATCTGCAGAGAGCATGACAAGTGTCCTCCGGTTCGGTAGCACAAACAGGACACAAGTTAGATACTTCAAGGCTACGAGCATGTTTATTAGTCCATGTGGCCAGACAGTTCGTCGCCACCCGCCAAGCAAACACACGCACCTTAGGAGGAGCAGGGCACCTCCATAAAAAAGCCCAGACGGCTCGTCGCCCGTCAGGTGCCCTGCTCGCCGCGACTGAAGATGGACGAAGACGTTCATCAAGTGCAAGCCGGTACGCGCTCCGAACCGTGAAGATACCATTACGCTCTGGTTCCCAAGCAAGGACATCCTCTTCGAGCCGTGGAGAAGTCCGAATTTTAACAATCTGCTCGACATCTACCGGATTGAAATATTGTTGTAAAAGGTCCATACGCCATGCACCACGTTCATCCAGCAGCTCGGAAACTCTTCTCAGACGACATCGCCCCTGCACGGTGATAGGCTTGCCAGAGCCACCGTTCGGGATCCAACGATCTCTCCATATACAAATGGATTGCCCATTGCCTACCCGCCATAAAATACCATGCTTCAGAAGCTCCAGCCCATGCGCCACTGCTTGCCAAGTTGGTGAAGAGTTGGACGGGAAAACAGTGTCCACAAGGAGACCAGATGAAAAATATTTAGCTTTCATCACTTGTGCGCACAGACTGTCCGGGTTAGAGAGGATTCGCCAAGCTTGGCGTGCCAGCAAAGCTTGGTTGAACAAGCGGAACTCACGGAACCCCATGCCTCCATGTGACTTCGGTCGGATCAGCTTCTCCCATGCACGCCAATGCGTTTTCTGCCGCCCTTTTTCAGCACCCCACCAGAAGTTACGCATCATGCGGGTGAGATCATCGCAAGTTGACGCAGGCAACCTGAAGACGCTCATTATATATGTAGGTAGTGCTTGGGCAATGGACTTTATTAGCACCTCTCTCCCGCTTTGTGCCATCAAGTCACACCACATGATGAACCTCTTTGTAAACTTTTCCTGGATGTTCTAGAAACGACCCTTGCTCATACGCCCATTAGGAGTGGGAAGTCCGAGATATTTCTCTTCGAAGCTAATATTCTGCACTTCCAGTACACGAACCACATTATCCTTGTCACCTTGACTGCAATGTTCACCAAAAAGGATGGAGCATTTTTGAGGATTAATTAATTGTCCGGTAGCATTAGCATAAACATCCAGTACTCCCTTGATGCGCTGCGCCTCACCTTCTGTTGCACGGAAGAACAAAAGTGTATCATCGGCAAACAATAGGTGTGAAATCCTGGGTGCCCTAGGACATACTTTCAGTGGCGAAATATGTGTCTCTTGCGCCTCCTTCTTCAGCAAGGCCGCTAGTCCGTCCGCAACAAAGAGAAAGAGGAATAGTGAAAGAGGATCTCCCTGCTGTAGCCCTCGCGACGGTGCGAATGAATCTGAGCGGGCTCCATTAATTTTTATCGTGTATCTCACCGAGGTGACACATGCCATTATCCATCTCACCCATCGATGATCAAAGCCCAACTGTTGCATCACTCGCTCCAGGAATACCCAATCCACTCTATCATAAGCCTTAGAAAGATCAAGCTTATATGCACAATAGCTTTTGTCCGGGTTTTTCTCATGTCGGATGAAGTGGGTGCACTCAAATGCCATAAAGGCATTATCAGTAATAAGCCTTCCAGGTACAAATGCACTTTGCTCCGGAGAAATAATGTCCCCCAGAATGGGTCTTAGTCGGTTGACTAAACATTTAGAAATCACCTTATATATAACGTTGCAAAGGCTGATAGGACGGAAATCTGATAACTTGACCGGCACATCAATCTTGGGAATCAATACGATGGTAGTCAAGTTGACTCCCTCTGGCATTTGTCCTGACGCAAAAAACAACTGCACTGCTGAGATAATATCTTCCTTGACAATAGCCCAATGTTTCTGAAAAAATCTTGCCGGGAAGCCGTCGGGTCCTGGGGCCTTGAGAGGACCAATCTGAAACATCGCGTCGCTAATTTCCTTATCAGTAAATGGAGCACACAGCTGGTCATTCATACCTGCCGTAATCTTTCGCTCAAATAAGGACACCACCCGGTCTGCATTGAGAGAGGCATCAGCAGTAAAAAGATCTTTAAAAAAGTCCAATGCCATATCTTCCATCACGTACTGGTTAGTGTGCTTCACCCCTGCACTATCCACCAGGGTTTAGCGCGGCGCGCAGCGTTTGCTCCAGCAGCCGCGCTAAAAAGCCACGCGCGCGCAGCTCCAGCAGGCGCGGTAAAAATGCAATGCGCGCGCTCATTCTACAACATTTTTTTTAAAATTAATTGCATAGATAAGAAAAACGATACAAAGATATTTTACATCAGTGCAACTAAATAGATAGTTCGACATACATAGATAGATAGATACTACTACTACGGCATAGATAGATAGATAGAAACTACTACGGCATACATATATAGAAACTACTCCAAGTTGCTACCATCACCATCATCATCCTCGTCGGTGTCGTCCGAGTTGAGATCCATATGTCGTCCCAACATTCGTCGTCCGCGGTGAAGAACGACCTCCCACCTGCTGAAACGATATCGTACTGCTCGTTTGCCAATGCCTTCCGCTGACGCCGGCCAGTCCGCTCCGCGCGGCGCCTTGCCGTCCTCTCTGCCCAGTAGACATGCTCGTCGGCGACGTTCTTCGGATGGCGACGGCGCCACTCCGCCATGGCTCGCTCGTCCTCCTCGGCGATGAGGAGGCGGCGCTGCCGCCGAGCGTGGTCGGCACGGTCCATGTCGGTGATGAGACGCGGCGGAGGGGCGACGCGTTGCGCCTGCTCGCGCGTGAAGACGTCCTGGAAGTTCATCTGCGACCGGGGCCTCTCCAAGCGGCACGCCACCGCGTCGTACGCGCGGACCGCCTCGTGCGTGCTCCGGAACGTCCCGAGGCCGGGCCGGACGTCGCCGGACCATATCTCGGTGGAGTACCAGCCGTTGGGGCGCTCGCGGACGCCGCAATAGCCCGAAGCACCCCGGCGGGGCGGCGGCATGGTGGCGCGGAAAGCGGCGAAGCGGCGAGGCGGCGAGGTTGCCAGGGGAGGGCGCGTGGCTGTGCTCTATGCGCGTGGCGAGCGCGGAAATTTATAGGCGCGCGCGAGGCGGCGCACCAAATCTACCGTGCCGCATACCGCTTTCTCTCCCGCGCGCGTAAATTCTTCCCGCACGCGGTAAGTTCCCGCCACCGCTGAAACACGCAGAACCAGCCGGCGCGCGTTAAACACAATTTTTAGCACACGGGCGCGCCTTTTGCCGCGCCTATTGGATATGCTCTAAGAACGTACGCGCTCTGCATGGCTTCATTCGTGTGATTTGTACTACGTAGGCAATGCATAGCGAGCATCTTAGCAGCCAGTCCTACATGTGGTAGTGCCGAGGCAGCATCCTTATTTTGTCTCGTGATGCTATCCTTTCTGGAACAATTGCTGCAGAAGAATTGGCGTGGTCTATACCATGCATGTATACTAACTCGATCTATATAAGATGCGATGGGCTGAATGGCCTTCCACTACAGATTACCAGTACCGGCTGTCCTAGAGAGTCTTTTTCCCAAGCACTAGCTCCAGGTTTTTCTCTCTCCCGCCCGTCATCTTGATCGCCTTTTTCTTTTTGGTCTTTTGATCTATTGGTTTGCGTCGCCCTCCGCCGCCGTCGACCCCGTGTGGCTCTACTCCAACACTAGCACGACCGGTCGGCTTCTTCACCGACTCGGCGGCCTCGCGCGACAGGCGGCCCCTCACGGCCGTCGTCCGCGCGTCTGCCCGCTCGTCGCCTGCGCCGGCCATCGTCGTCCTACTCCGATCGGGATTCCTGAATCACCACCCCGCCTTCGCCTCTGCCGCGTATGTACGGCCGCCTCCACACGGCGTTGCGTTCGCCGCTGCGTCGGCGACATCCTCGACACCGGCTACGCCGACTCGCAATCATGGCGTTCTTCTCACGGCTACCTCGACCACAACTACACCACCCACGCTCTCGGCTATCGCGACAACGGCACAAAGGGCTACCGCCTTGCTTCAGCACCCTCATCGGTTTCCACTCCAGCCATGACTTCTACGATGCGTCGACCGTTACGACTGTGGGAGGGTGTCCGTCGGCTTACCTTCGGATTCTTCTCCAGTTTCACCGTCTGCGTCGCTATCGTTGAGACTGTGGGGATGTTGAGTATAATGTTTATTAGGAAGTATAGGATAGACTAGAATTTGTTCCAACTTGACTTCTACTCTAAGATAATCATGTACTCATATATATACCCACGAGGCTCAAACAATAAGACGATCAATTCCACCAATCCCTCTATCCATTGTAAAATTTTGCTTGCTTCAAAGACTATATATGGCCATTTTCGTAAGAGCCTCTCTCCCTTTGCAACCCATGAACATCTCCCATGCTAATCCTGCGAAGAAACTTTCGAGCTCTCGTTCCATCAACGTGGAACCAATTCTCGTACTTTTGCATGCTATAATAGAGCTAGCTACAGCGAGACCCGTCGCTCCAGGGCGTCGTCCTGGAAGAAATGATCAAAATCGTCGTCAAAAGAGGCGAAGAAATCGTCCATGTCCACGGGCGACCAGAGCTGCTCGGACTCGTCGTCCGCGCCAGCCGCGGATGACGAGACGTCGGCGCTGTCGTCCCCGCGGTTCAGGGCCGTGTCCTCGTCGGACACGGGCGACTGGGGCGGGTGGCGCGTGGTGCCAGCGAGCGCGCTTATGGTGGTGGGCACGGCGTGGCAGTGGTCGGCGATGTAGGTGACGACGAGCATGCCGGGCTTGGCCGGGCTGCGCTCCACCAGCTTCCGCGCCGTGCACGCCTTCATGCTGCTGCACTTGTAGTACCCTCTGCGTGTGCATTATTTCATCATCAGTACATCATGTCACTAATGGCGTGGCGTTCTAGGTTAAAAATAGAAGTTAGGTGATTACCGAGGGTAGGGGGAGCCCTTGATGGGCTTCTGGCCGTACTTGCGCCACGCCCACTGGTCGTCGGGGCCGTTTACGCCGCCCTCGGCCACCGGCACCTCCCGCACCACCTTCTTCATCTGGCTCTTCTTGCTCTTGCCTCTCTTCGGCCGCCGGAGGTCTCCAGCACCTCCCGGCTTCCGGCCGGCCTGCTTCCTCGCGGGCAGCGCCTGCCCGGACGTCGAGGTCGCAGCTGCAGGGAAGGAGATGAGCACCTCGGGCTGCTCCGCCAGCGCCCGATCACAGCCGGACGAAGGCGTGATGGAGAACGGCGCTCGCTGCTGCAGCTGCTCGTGCTCCAAGTCCAGGTACTCCAACACGTCGTACAACGACGATGGCGTGGACGCCGCCCTCGATGTCGATGGTCGCCCCACGAACTCCGCTGGATCCGCCCGCGCATGCACGACTTCACGGCGAGGAGGCTCTGCTTCATAGCCCGGGACGACGCCGCCGCCGCAGCTCCTTACGACCGCCCCGAGACCCCAGTCGTCGGCGTCCATCGATCAGCAGCTCTTAACGATGGAGTTCGATGAGTTTAGCTGAGGCAGAGAAGATGGAGCGTGTGGCTTGCGTCTGTGGTTGACTTTTGGATGGGTTTGCGGCTGGTGCATATATAGTGCTCGGCCGCACGCGGCGATCGATCGGCATGATCGGTAGAAAGTCAAACACAACGGCTGGTTGACATTTCATTTTTAATGGGAAAAAAGCACATACGCAACGGCCCAAGATGGTTGTGCGCGCGCACCAACAGCGTCAGCGATTGATCGGTTCCGAGACGAACTGGATGCAAAGATGCGAGATCGCATCAGGATTTACACGTAATTAACAGACGGATTGACCGACCTGATCAATCTGATTAACTATCCCCCCTTCACGTGCTGCAAAATGATATGTGTGCACCTGTCACTGGACCAGCGCCTAGCTTCTGCCTTCACGTGCTGCAAAATGATATGTGTGCACCTGTCACTGGACCAGCGCCTAGCTTCTGCTCTAGGCTCTAGCTTGTTTGTGTTTGACTTTACTAATGTCAAAGGCATACAACATGGATGGATATTCGATGGAAACATCTGAGATGAGGTCATGCAGACTTGGAGAGGGAGAAAAATAAGCAGAGTGTCGCTGGCATCTGCTTCGGGAAGGGAATAAACCTGGGATTATGCTGTTTTGCGCCCGACTTGCTTGCTTAATTAAGCGCGGATGTCATCATCATCATCGACATCGATCGATCTTATGACAGGCTAGTTATACTAGTACTAGCTCCTTCATTCATTGGTATCTGGCATCGATCCATCCACCTGTTAATTATCAAGATTTGACTTTTGCTAATGTCAAACTATGGAGAGAGGAGGCTGAGAACCGTAAGCTACCATACAGCACGATCCTGTCCATATGCCACCATTGTGATCTATCGATCCGGCCGGGTTAATTAGAATCCAAATCATCTTATCTCCGTTTCAGAAATATATATCATTTTATCATCAGTGACAGTATATCGATCCGATTATTGTTTTCAGATTTTGTGCGTGTGTCGTTTGCTTTACGGCGAAGGACGTTTGGCCGCCAATTCAGCCGTGCTTGTTGGGTGCGTGCGGCGGGCAAGCGCCGCAGTATGGCGCCGATGTGTTGTATTCGGGGAAATGGGGGGCGCCGACGATTTTGATCGGTTTGATTGACACATGCGAACCGATGACCGATGTAGACATTACGAGCTGAGCACCTCCGCGTCGGTCTCGTCGAGCTGAGCTGAGCACCTCCGCGTCGGTCTCGAGTACGTAATGCATCTTGGACGTACGGTACGGATGCGTATGCGTATGGAACATCAGCTGCTCTGCTTTCTTCATGACGAGAGCTCCGCGTCACAATGGTTCCTTTGTCAAACGAGAATCCATCCTCCCGTTAATTGTCGTTTGAATTTTGGCAATGTCAAACGAGTCGAGGGAGGTGGTTGAGAACCGCAAGCTATGTCTACTTACGTACGTTGTGCTCTCTGCCTAACACGATCGGTATGATGTATGACCCAGCTAGCTAGGACATCGAGCTGCCGTGTCTGGCTGCTGCGCGCACGCCGACGGTGGAAGCTGGGGTGCACGCACCGGGGCGGCGTTGGGCGTCCTCGAGATGTCGATTCGGGCCGGGATACTCGGACGATTTGGCACACGCGAACAGACGGAGACACGCATGCAAGCACTAGGAGCTGAGCTCCCAGCGTCGTGCAGTGTGCATGGAGATCGATCTTGAGCTGACAGATGGAGGATCTCTGTGAATTTCCGGCCAGGTGGTCCCGTGGTGTTTACTCATGAAATAATACATTAGTAGTACTACGTCAAGAGCTGACAATGGAAGCGAATCAAATCAAATCGATTAGAATGCACTGTACTCCTAAACGGGAGGGAGGAATATGCTGTGCTCCCGTTTATGCGCATGCTAGACTACCAGACACAGTGACACACTCGTTCCGGATTGATGGAACAACGGGTTCGAGTCTTTTGTCAGCCTATCTCTCGGCATTTTCATGAATCCACCCCTTCGGCACGACTGAAATCACTGTTCTAACCTTGTCAGTAAATTTGGGCACAAAATGACCTCTTCAGAAAAATATTTCAAAATGTAACGCTTTTAACCAACGCCAGAAAGCGTGGCGTTTCCGGGACACTTTGAAACGCCATCGCCTTTGACATTTCGGGCCTGGCCCATGGTCAGGGCTCGCTAGCCTCAGCACGCCGACGTGGTGGGCACAAACGAAGACCCCTGGCGTTTCTGCCCTAGATTTTACTTCTCGCGACCCAACCCACCACTCACCCTTTCACCCTCTCTCCACCATCCAAGGACGGAGAGCTTCACTCCTCTCTCTCTCTCTCTCCTCTCCTCCAAATCTTGAATTTTGGCCATCAAAACTCGTCGGTCTGATCATTTCCCAACTTTGTTAAGGTATTCTCTTCCAATCCCTCCAATTTTTTTCAGTCAAAACTAGGTATTTGAGTTGCATTTTTTGAACATGGTTTAACCCTAAGATTAATTTTTGTACTATGTTTGGAGAGTGTTTGGATTAGATTTCGTGTATATGAGAAAGATATACTTGTTCTGTTGAAATGTTTGATATTGTGTAGTATTGCTTGTAGAGATGATTATTTTTTCTATTAGGTTGAATCCTAAGATTATTTGTTCCTAGTGAGTTTGAATAGGTTGTTTGGGCTAGGTTTCGTGTACGAGGAAGATATAGTTGTTGTGTTGAAATGTTTGATATTGTGTAGTATTGCAATTTGATATTGTGACATTAGGTGGTACATATTAGCTATTGTGTATGGAAGTGTTTTTTTTTGTCGAATATGCTTATAAGTTGAAAGAAGTAATAAGTTGTTGCTCTTGTTTTTAAGTAGAAAGAAAGAACAAGCTGTTGTTATTGTCTCTATGTCTAATATGCTTGTGACTTTAGAAGTTGTTCAAAGTTGTAAGCATTGTTATATTAACTAGTCTATAATGTATTATGTAGGATGTTTGAGCCGGATAAATATCCTGGCCTTGATGATGACTATGAATCGAAGCACCGTGCTCATCAAAAAAGGGGAGGTCACTATCTCTATTAGTGGGTTCTTATGTTGTTTATATGTTGGAAGAAGTAACAAGTTGTTCAGTTGATTTTCTGTAGGTTCCTCCACTACTTCATTTGAGGGGCCATAATCCCAGTGAAGTTTTGCGCTATGACCCATGCTACGAGCGAGGCTAGGCGTTCGGTAAATATGGTTAATATGGTTCGGTTTATTTTTTTTATATTTTGTTATGAAGAAATTACCACCGAAATAATCACACATAAATTAGCAACCGAAATATGTTTGTTGGGTTAACTGAAAAACCGATGCGCCCATCGGTCTAAGAAATCTTACTGATGAGCAGCGATTTGCATTGTACAAAATACTTGCCGTATGGATACACTAGTTCATGACAGTCGTTTCATGCAAACAATAGTAAAATATTCCTAGTAGATTAAGCTAATCACTAGCATGGGTTACGTACCATTGAGATTTGAGAGATTAGAATTTGGAGAAGCCATCGAAGTACTTGTGAGCGGATGGCTTGACGTCTGCCGCAACAATTGGATTTATTTTTTTGAAACGGAGGCAAAGATTGCCTCATCTACTAATTAAGCAGAAGAGAATTGCCCAGTTAATTATGGAAAATCGGGCAAAAACTAGAACAATAAAGGCCAAGCCCACTCCCAAAGACTGACACACATGACAAATCCCACCCTCATCAATAACATGTCGACCTGCAGCCACACAACGCAGCTCTGACTCTGACAGAGAACTCAGAAGAACAAAACCACGCGAAAGCTGACGCCACGGAAGATCACCGAACGGGCCACTTGCAGCCAGTCATCATATGCCACAGGGCCTCGCCACCGCAGCTTCGACTCCACAGCAACAAACAAACTGAGGCAATACCGCGAACACGCCGGAGAAGAGCCGACTACCGCAACCATTGCCACGTCGTCAACATCGCTCCCACTATCATCGTTGCCACAGAAGCCTGGTCGCCACAGTGATCCTCTCGGGGCCGCTGCCCTGACATCCAACGCTTTGTCGTGCCCAGCGCACTCCACCGGCACCGCCTTCCGTGGCCGCCGCTCCAACATACCACCGCCCCTCTCGAGCAGGAACACCGCACAACCAGTTGTCCGCAGCCCACGCTGCTCAGGGCAACCGCTCGCAGACCACGAACGCAGCACCACATCCGGGGCCGCCGCCCCGACATAAAGTCAGACCGCCCCCTTTGGGGCGCATCGACCGAGCCGACACCTCCACCGCCCAAGCGGAACAAGGATGCCACCCAACCAATGTCGAGATAGAGCCCCACCTCATAGAGCTACCACTCGCATTGTTCCCGAGATCGCCATCTCGGCGCACAATCAGAAACCACCGCGGAGCCGCCGCCCCGACGTCCACTGTCCCCACCGGCGAAGGGATCCGTGCAAACCGCAATATGCTGACACTCCAAGGCGATGCCTCAAAGTAGGAAACGACGTAGCCGCTCTCATCGCCCGCTTCGACCATCCGAAGTTAGAGATTTCTCCAGGAGAGTCCTGTAATGGAGCTCCACGGCAACGCCTTCAAGAAGGTGAACGACACCATGGTGCCGCCGGCGGCGACCCGAAGTCAGTGCTAGACTTTCGCCCGGAGCTCCTTCACACATCTGAATCAAAGCAGATCCAGGGCACTGCACAGCACACAATCCCCATGGTCGACGTCCACCGGTCCACCTCGTGGTGCAACTGCCGCCGCATCACCCCCCGGCCTGCCCGTGAGCAAGCCCACGCGCCACCGCCCGAGCACCGTACAGGTCACCCGAGCCACTCCACCACGCGCCACGCCGGAGCAGCAGCACCACAGCGGACCACCACCGCGCCGGAGCAGGCCACCGGGCCGCAGATCCTCGCTGCCCAGGCCACCTGCGCCACCCACAGCCGCCAGTCACTCGATCTAGATCCAGGCGGACCTTGATCCGC